TTTCTTGATTAGTTTGTCCTATTTATGTAATACATTACATAAATAGGACAAACTAATTTGCAATTTACTTCTTTAATAATAAAATATTAAAGAAGTAAATTGCCTAACGGCGCTATAATTCGACTTGGCGCGATATCTCCTGCTCGTGACATGTGTTATCATGATCGTGCTCCTTTCTCGATTCCAATTAGTTCGGCAATAAAGCAGCGTTGAGTAAACATATAAAATCAGTTTACGAGAAAACATCATTTTGAATAAAAATTCAAAAACAATTTCGGGAGTGGGCCAACTGTTATCGTAAGGCGAAACCGGTCGGTTCTAGCCAACTTCAAAAAAGGAGGTTCTCAATTCAACTGTTTATACATTTTTTGCGTATAATGCGAACGAAGATATCGAAGTGTAAAGCAATTTTAATGATTGTTTCTTAATAAACAGTTCATGAGTATAATAAGTATACTGTTAATATACAGGAAAAGAGCCCTCTGACGATATTTTATTGCAGACAAAATTGAACTACTAGCGTAAATTGAATCCGAACTAATTCGCTATATAGTTATTTTTTTTATAGGACAGGGTGACAAACGAGCACACAGTCCACCTGATGGTAAGTGGTTGCTGTGACCCATAGACACCTACATCTATCCTCAATAAAGAATCAAAATGCAGATGCATTGTCACCCGTGAGGGCTAAGATAGAATGCCTCTTGTCCAGTAAAAAGGGTCTCCGGTTCTCTACACTCACCATACGAAACAGCAGCGTTAAGCTGGTATTCTGTGAGAGCGTGGTCCTTCACCGGTCGAGCCGACCCATTCGTACTACAACTATACTATTAATATAGCTGCAGCATGGCTCTAACACGTATAAAAATTATATACATTATATTTAAACTATGTTCTTTAATTCGTACTTACTGAAACGGTTCCTACTTTTTTATAATACTAATTTATACTTTTAATAATAAAAGTAGGTAAATAATTTCAATAAGTACACTTGTATTTGTGAGATAATAATATTTAAAAATATGTAAAAAAAGGTATCTGCAATGAAACAAGAATGACAGTTTAATATGACAATTATTTCATTTTTGTTTAAATTTTTTATAATATTATGCTAGTTCCCAGTATCATAATTATCATATTTATCGATTGGTTCTAAAATTATTACTTATTTTTATGTTAAAATGATAATTTGTTATTAATAACATCACCAATAGTTTTTTGGTGCACTTATTTTTATTTTATTTTTCCAAAGTAGCGACATCTGTGAAGCCATAAGACCAACTATAAACAATTTTTTTTGAAACAAACTATGGATGGCGCCACCATCAATTGAATTTTTGTGGTTCAAGGCAACTGGGTGGCCCCATATTAATTTGAAGAAAAAATTTCACTCTTATGGGTGTGAGAACATGGTGATGGTTTTATTGCAACTTTTTAGAAGACTCTAAAGTCGGCAGATAGTGCTAAGACAAAGTGCGTAGAACATCGATCACTAATAAAAAAACTAGATCTATACAAAATCAGTGACAAAAAATGTCCTTACCAAACGAGCGCCCACTCGAACATTTGGGTGCGCTTTTAATATAGTAGCATTCGAACGTAGCTTTGTGAATACAACTTTAGGCAAAGCAATTAAGGTTGAATTTACATTAATGTATATTTATTTCAACGTCAAAACATTGGCGACAATTTTTAGTGTACTGTTGCAGGGGATTGTGTATCTAGTTTTTTTATTAGTGAGCGATGCCGTATAAGGATTAAAGCCACGTCTTCAGAAGCTATCATGTAGAAATTATTTTTATTCGTTTTAGTTCTTAGAAGTCGGCCTCTACAATTTTATTAAGTTTAATTTTACACTGAATAAATTAAAATATAAGTATCAAGACCATGCATGGTTTTGTTACTCCTATCAATCCAAATCACACAGATAATCTACAGTTTACAGCATCCTATTTGGCTGAAGGCCTTGTAGCCAATGCCACGAGAAATAAATAAAAATAAACTATCATTTTTATTCATTGTGGCTTTACTTCCAAGGTCTTCAGCCAATAAATAATTAAATATGTTAACAAATTTCTTCTAAATATGTTGATGCGAAACATTGCTATGTTCTTGGGAGATTTTGTAGAGCCTTCATCTCTCCCTGCGCCACAGATCCTTTCAAATCCGTGCCAGGAAAAACGAGCAGTCAAAGCATCAGCCTTCCAGAACCCAGCGGAGATGGCAAGGCGGGAACTGTTCCATTCCGTTGTAAGTAGGCCGTAGTTACATCCACAATGACTCAGGAACTGCTACAGGTGCATTGCCAGCATTTTATAGGCCTCAAAGAAATGACTAAATTATGAAAAGCGTAGGCTCTTTCCTTGAAAGTCCCTAAGTCATATTGTGTGCTACTATACTAACAACGTCACCGTTGTTATAATTCTTATACCGTATATTCTTTAAAGTTACTTAATATATTTATTCATTAAGTCTGTGATCCTGTGGCATTTAGATTATTTATTAAAATAAAAAGAACAGTTATATGACAGCAGTTTAATCTCAAAATATATAAACGTATATCTCATTTTGTATGTATTTACAACTTATATTTCGATATAGAAACCTGATTACATCGAAAAAGAAATAAAATTTGATTTTGAAATATTCACATATTATTCACTCAATTATAGAATAAATAAACATTCTATGGCACATTGGCGTTTTCTAAAACTCCAATAAATGTCAAAAATATAGTTTACCTAAAATGTAACATGTGTATTATTTTATATGCTGAAAATTGACAGATTTTTGAAATTATAATTTTAATACATAAACAAAGATCGTCAAATATATATAAATGAAAGATTTTAGTATTATAGGATAATTTTTTTTGTAATAACGTTGCAAAATTACTTTTTAGCGTCAGTTTGAATAACAATAATTACACCTTACAATTATTTATTATGTAATTTAAAATAATATACCGAGATTTTATGACAAGACAAAAATTGCATTTATTGAAGACATTAGTTGTAATAAACTGAACTTAACATAATATAATATTGTACTTAACATGTACGATGTAAACGAATTCATTTACTTATTAAATTATTGTCGGTGATTACGAAGATATTTTGAACAAAACACTAAACAATGAGGATAATAAATAACAATTGGCATAATGGTTTCTTATATTTACGCGAACACTACATACACATTAAAAGAAACTAATTTTACGGATTTTAAAATTATACCCGATAAAATTCTTAAAATTAGTTTCGTCTAACAACTGGAAAATAAATATTATTCGAGTAAATAAGAAAAAGGTACCGATTTATACGATATGCTTTGGAATTACAAGTTGAATCGATTCAACAAGGATCTACTCGGCACTGAATGTAGGTAGACAATTAAAATACGTAGAATGACAAACATAAAATATAATAAAATTACAACGGCTTACTTTCTAAAGAGTATATGGATTTTGATCATAAAGAAATAAAATCATCGACAATGAGGGCCTCTACTTCACTTTCCAAACCACAACTTTTTCTGCCACCAGGGCGACGCCACAGGAATATTTGACAAATTTCATAATGGCAAAAGTTATATAAAAGGGTAGAGATTAATATTTCTTACTGAAATATTAATTATATTTTATATTAATTAGATAATTAGATCGGAAATTAATAAACTAAAGCACAAGATATTCCTAAAAGTGGAAGACATAAAAAATGAGAAATGTATACAAAATTAAAGAACTGAGGCATTGTTTTGTGTACATGCATACACTACAACAGGGATTACCAAACTTTTAAGGTAATGGAAGACCCAGCAAATCAATTTTATTTTATGGAACCCCACATCAAATAATTTAATATCATAGACAGTGCAATTGAATTCTGCAACATTCTGACAGTGCTACTCGTACATAACAGTAATGGGTTCTTTCCACCACATATAATGTATGAAAATATTTAACAAGCAAAAATGAATAATTTTGCGGAACCCTGGTGACTTTTCCACGGAACCCAGTTTAGTAAGCTCTGCACTAGAAATTAAAAACTTTCAATTAAAACGCAAATCAACTCTTATGATGACACTATGTGACCATCTACGTAACAAATAAGTTCGCCTTAGTCCCAACTAGCGACATCTGGTGAGCGTAAGATTATTAGCCGTCATTGTTTTGTCATCTTATAAGTAATTACTGACGCAATCGTTAATAGCCATACTGTATTGTAGCTGTGCCATATTAAAACATACTAATTAGTACCAAAACCTGTTAGATATAAACAAATTTATATCGATATATAAACTTTCTTATATCTATTATATCTTATTTAACTAAGTAAAATTTTAACAGATATATAAATGAAAATGCTGTTGGTGTCTCCACATTTTAACATATTATTATATTTATATTTTATACGTACTTAATTTACAGCCACACTTGCGACTTAAACATATATGTGTAATATACTATCATGCTCTAAATCCATCCATTCATGCTAAGTCACATCGTTGTATCACTTGAGATCCCACCCATTGATATACAAAAAATGTATAACAATGATCCCACCCAAATAAATATATAGAATTGAATACAATAACTAAAACAATATAGGTATGACAAAGATCATTTTGCATAAATATAATGGTATAAGCAATGAACGCAAATAATAATTCGCGTTCACTGGGTATAAAATCTTTCATAATATTGTTCTCATAAATATATGTAGGTAGGTAACTACGATAGAATTTGCGTGGAATCCCTTTGGATTTTATTGTTTCTACCCTCTTCGACCCTGCATTCATTCAAGTGATTTCTTTTGGAAATATTCCGAGTTTAACATATACATATATTTGTAGCTTCCTATTGGAATGTGTGTGTCCGAAGATGTGAATATGGCTCTTGGTGCTGGTGTGTAAATGCTTTTGTAGTTATTCAACTTCCACAACGGTTCCAACAAAAACATAGAAATCACTCCTCATTCGTACAAACCAAACTCAACACACTACACTAATTTTACGTCATCGAGTGCGGTAAGCAAGTCATTAGTGTCTTGCATTACTTCGGTTTCGCCCCAAAAGTCGGTGGACGACAAAGACATATTCGAGTCCAAAAGCATGTCTGTCTGTTGAAGCGGGTAACTGGGACTCGCTAGCATTTTGTTGTTCAAATAGGGGTCGTAACCTTGCAGCATGCAGACCGGTGATAGTAGTCTGTTCTTGGGGCTATAATCTTGACTAAATTTACCTATGGGCGATAGCGATTCGGGCGTGGAATAAGCACTTAGCGTATGGTCCCTCTGAACCGGGCTCATAGCAGGACTATTGTAGCTGGAAGTGTTTGGGCTTGGAGATAACGAATACATCGGGGAACTTATATTGAGGCTAAGTGGGGACATAGGATTACTATTAGCGTTGCATATTATAGTGCCATTGGGTAACGGTGTGTTAGAGCGCATCTGTTTATTTGGTGTTGATTGTATAATATTTATTACAGGAACAGGAATACTGTTCCCATTAATGGTACCAAGGGGAGGTAGTCGCTGTCCGTTCATAACTACATGTTGATAGTTTTGGGGATTTTTGGGATTGATCTGCCGTGGCATTTGCTGCGGTAAGTCCTGTAACACACGAAAGTAAAATGTAAGAAAAAATAAAACTTGAAAATATAAATTAAATATAATAAAGTTATTATAAAACTATATTTAGTTTAATCGAATTTAAATTCACGTTGTTTCAAGTCGACGCTAGGAGTGACTTTCAACACCCATGGATAACGACGGACTGAGGTGTTGGAGGTCCATATTTTATAGGTAATTCGGGCTACCTTCACAGCTCAGCGTTAATTATTAATTTGTTTTCGAATTACACATAAAGAACTTATAGTATCTGAAGCTATATCATCCTCATTTTGGAGGTTATCACATTTATAAAGAAATCTTCCTTCGCGTCTGTATTTTATATTAAATTAATATTTATAATCATATAAATTTGGGGGATGAGTGGACAACTAAAAACTAAAATATACAGGTTACCCGGGTTAGTTATTTATGAAAAAAAAAATCAAGGCGTCCATGTGTGTTGCAAAGCACTCGTAACGTCGTTAAAAATGTGATAATCCGTAAAATAATGAAATCCGTAAAACAATTTTAATAGCACAAGTAAACATATGCACGTTTTTTAAATATTATGAAAAGGATGTGTGGGAAAGGTATTAGCTTTAACTATTATTTCTAACTTATTATCTAAGTATAGCCTTGACTCTACATTTTAAACGACAATGACCCGAAGTCGCCTGTTCGAGCAATTTATCGGCCGTCACACATTAAACACAAATCGCTTGACGCTGTATTGCAAATAAAATCGTTTGATTGGAGTATTTTGATGTGTGTGTACTTTGTGCAAAATTGTCAGTATCCTAAAACTATATTCTATTGATGATACCATAATTACACATTTTTTCAAAAACTGTGACTTGCCTCTCATAGAAAATTCATAATTCTATTAATATATAATTTATTTTGTAGTTTGGTAGGAAATATCTCTTGTTATGAAATTCTTTTACGTTGGGACCCATATTGCGGGATTTCATGTGTGCTATTTATTACATTACTAGACGATACCCGCGATTTCGTCCGCGTTGCTTACACACATATCACTGAACACGTAGTACTTATAAAATCGTTGTTTCTTAAAACTTTAATAACTTTATATTAAATGAATATATCGTAATATTTTTTTTAGATAAGGGCTAAGTGTCTAAGAAATAAAACTTAGAAAACCTAATTGAAATTTATCCAGTAGTTTTTCCGTGATGCGCGTACAACTGCAAACATATTTTATTTATATAGAAAAGATAAATGAAACCAGGCTGTGTTTTCATTCATCAACAACGCTTGCAACATTGCTTACATTTGTAAGGCATTCTCAACCAGTCTACCTCTATTGTAGTTAAATATATTTCTGTAATATTCTGTTTTTAAAATTATTCTAGTCTTACTCATATGCATGCAGTCTTCTTTTTGTTAAGTTTAAGGCCATTTCCCTTCAATTTCACGGTTGTTTGCTTGGCGTGTTTACCCTTAATTAATTCGTGGAGTTAAGGATCTAGCCCCCGCATTTATCTCCGCCTGCGAGATTTGGGTTCAATTAAAGTTCTATTATATATGTGTGACATATAATACATAATATATATACAAAGACAACAAAGATTGTTGTAACAGAGTGGAAAATTGCTTTAATAATATAATGGATTTTCACAAAATAACGCCTATTCTTTCAATTATTCACTATTAGGTCTGTTATAATAAATTAATATTTTTTTTAAATAACATTTTTGTAGAGACCTTTTTTCATAAGCTTATATATATATATATATATATATATATATATATATATATATATATATATATATATATATATATATATATAAACAATGTTGGTCAAATCCAAATTAAATGTAATGAAAGACTAAATAGAAATGGATGTGAGATTTAAAACAAAGTTCAATAGGGTGGCGCCATACGTAATACGAATATTAAATAGTCTGTATACTATATGCATATTATAATACTTTTTATTTTAATCTTCATGGTTTTCAATTTATGCGAAAAATAAAACAAGTCGTAGGTACTTTCTACTGGAATTGTGCTACACGTAAGCTTAGAGACAAAAGGTAACGTTGAGCTTATCAAAAAGAAGACGGTACTCAATACGATTGTTGTTGTTTTTTTTTAAATGTGTGTTACCTCATAACTTTTTACTGGGCGAACGGATTTCGATTAAGTATTCTTTTTTTATTTGAAAGCTGGTGCTTCTCATGTGGTCCCATATAAATTTGATCAAGGTCTGACCAATAGTTTTTGAGCTATTCTTAATAATTTGTATTGAAGTCGGTTGTACAACATTTTTAATTTTAAATTTTCTATTTGGGAATTGTGGTAAAAGAATTTGGGAAGTACAAATTAAAATATGTGTTCTGGTTTTAACTTTATGAGCTCCCTGGACTTCGATTCTAATGTAATTTCGAAGAGCTTGTATGCGTGTGTATGCTCGTATATCATGTGTCTCGCATGTCTCGAGAATAGAATGATGATATCGTCTAGAAATCAATTTTATTCGAGACGTAATTACAGTATGAACAAGTTTCATTAAATTTAACTAAGCAAACAATGTAACAAATATACAAATAATAAAAAAATGGGAATTTGATAGCGGGAAGAGAACAAATTGCACTAACTGCTATATTTTACTTGTATCATCAATCTATTTCTCAAATCTTTATTTTGAAACTAGATCTGTTATTAATTTATATCCGGTTTCGGTCTACAAGTCCGACTGGGTATTTAAAAGTAAATTAAAAGGGAAAGTAAGTTACAGTCTAGTCCCATTGCTGGGCACAGGCCTCCTGTCATTTTTGAGGCTTGGTTGCTATCTATTAGTCCGCCGAATACAGATTTTAACTGACTTCAAAAAAAGCAGAAAGAACTCAACTGCATTTATTAATTTCATAAAATAGGCGAGAGTAGTTGCATTTAAATTTGTGGAAATAATTCTATCCTTAAGTGTGGAAAAACCAGGAAACTAAGAAGTAACTTCAAATTCTAGGTTTCCTGTGTCGAAAAATTAAAGCCATGATTTCAGAAGGTATACAATAATGTGAAAGTTTTTTTTTAATTATTTTATTTCGGTTTTCACGTTTTTAAGATCAATCCGTTATTTCAATTCTTCGTAACTTGCATACACTATATTGGTCAAAAACATTTAAAAAAGGAAATTTATCATAAATTACACTTAGTAAAAAGAACAATACCAAATAGAGTTAGAGTAGTTAAGTCGACAGAAAAATTAAACAAGGAATCTCTCTCAATCTCATCTCTTGTGTCCCCAATAATCCAAGCTGTTATAGAACATTACCCGCAGCGAAGTAATTGTAGCTTCCGTTATATCGGAACACTGTTTTCTAGCGCCCGCCCCTGCGAGAGTCACTTATCGGACCGAGGATACTGAACGGATTACACGAATAACACTATACGTACACGTGTCAAAGTAGCCAAGGATAAAAAATCGAGTAAATTTTCTATTGGAGATATTTATATATATATTTTTTTAAAGATAATTGTTAAAATAGAAGGATGACAAAGGAACACAGTCCACTTGATAAGTGGAAGCTATGATGCATGTCTTAGATCCTCTATAAAGTTAAATAACGCTGAATCGGTTGATAATGAGTTTACGGGTCTCCGGTTTTCGTCACCAACTACACAAAAAACGTCAGCATTATGGTGCTATTTTACGCTGGTATTTTGTGTGACTACTATAAACGGAAACGGCAAAATATTTTATGCAAATAATTCGTAACTATGCGAACGTATTCGCGCACAAAAACTGTTTTATAATTAATTTAAAACTCGCTTATTGTTTGCGTTTAATGTTATTTACATAGACAACAATCTTCCTTTGAATTAATTTTCTGTCGTTTATATATTTGCTTACTAGACTAAATCGCATTTAAAAAATTCTGTCTGGCCGACCGGTTTTAATATTAGTGAAACTAGCACTTGATAGGTGAGATTTGCAAATATTACATCATATTTTGGCACTTATTTGCCTTCTTTGTTTGCAAGTGTCCACCAGTTGCAATAGCCACTTACCATCTGGTGGACTGTAAGCGATTGTCAATTCAGGTTTATAAAAACAAAACCCTCTCAGAAATGAATGGTGGTCTGTGCCCAGGAGTAGCACGTATATAGGTTGTAACTTTTATAAAAACAAAAAAAATATATTTGTAATATGTTTTTATAAAAATATAATATATATATATTATAAAAACAAGATAGCAGGTGGCTCAGGATCGTGCTTTATGGTATTCCTTGGGGGAGGTCTATGTTGAGCAGTAGACTTGTGAAGGGCTGTAAGATGATGATAATGAAACAAACAAAGTAGGCTGCAGAAGTGTTTTCACCCATGAGGGCTAATAAATGCTTCACAGCGTATAACTATACTGACTCTTACTTTTAAAACCGGAGTCCAAGTGCGTTGGCATTGCCCTTTGACGGCACAAGTAGGGGGTGACACCAACACTATCTGACTTCTAAGCACAAAATTAGTATCTACAGCAATTGACGGCTCCGTGGCGCAGTGGCTTAGCAATGAGATGTTGCGCTGGGGGCCGCGGGTTCGAATCCCGCATGGAACAAGTATTTGTATGGCTTACAAATAATTGTTCCGGGTCTGGATGTTTGTCCTCGTGCAATTTATGTTTGTAAACTGCGTCCACGATACAGGAAAAAATCCTAGTGTGGGAGTAACGTTTTATAAAAAAAAATGATACATTACAGATTTGTAAAATTTTAGTACTAATACATGATTATTTGAAAGGAAGAAAATGAACGTCGTTTTAAAAGTAGCAATATTTAATTCGTCATATGCACATAGCATATTTTGTTAGTAAAGTACATTTGATTTATTTCTTTTTTTTTCAATAAAATTTATTAGGTGTCCACGACGTTTTTAGTAGCAATATTTAAATTGTCAATGTATTGTGTGTATGTAGTAAGCAAGTTAAGTAAGTACGTTGTCAAGCGCGCCAACAAAATCCCTAAGTCACTGTGCTTGTTTTTTTATTTATAGCTGTGTTGGATGCACAGATGTTAACGTATATGTAAAAATGTCAAGCTAAAGCTAATACCCAGATAGAAAGAAAAGGAGGGGGAAGTGGATGTGGTTAGGGTAAATGAAATCAACGTGCACATGTTCAACTATGTCCATAGTTTGTCTTTTAATATTTTTGATATATTTCTTTGTTTTTAAATTGATTAGATATCCACATATCATATCTTCCAAGAAAAATATTTTGTTCTAAATACACATTGCTTACTTAAACTATAATCATGAACAACATTGATAAATTTATATGTCTACATGTATATCTCTTTTTATAAACATCTTTTCAAATTTCGAACTACCAGTGGCCAATATTAGTAAATTTAGATCGATATGATAGCTGCTAGAAAAATATTAAAAAGGTATTAAAACAATTTTCACTACAAATGTAACTGCTAGGTTGATTGACAGTGAAATGTTTCAAATAAATAGCTAACAAATACTAACAGAATTTATAAAAAAAAAAAACACAACAATATTTGATACATTTGGCAGTGAAGTCACTGTAAACTGCAATGATAACTTGCCACAGCGCACTCAAACTTATTGTTCTAATAAACTTTAATATATAAAACATACTGTGTCGACTTCTTACGACGAATCGATTCAGTTTATTAAAGTAACATTAAACATAGACAACTTTATTTAGAAATAACTCCTAGCAATAAATAAATAGCGTCAATTTTCGCTTGTAGTAAAAAAAAAACACCTACATAACTAACTACCAACATAAGACGGAGCGCGCGGCAAAGTCCCAATTCACGGCAAAAAGGTGACTAATAAATGTCTAACCTAAATATGTAGATTCAATTGTCCATCACTTAACCACAACGATATGCGTACGTTAAACTTAAGCTCTAAAAAAATATTAAAAATTGTTGTCAAACACCACTGTGTATAGTTTATATTAAAATCTGGTGTTTCCCAACCAACAAACAACACTGTATTTAGAGTTAAAATACTTCAAAATAAATTAACAATTTCAACAAATATGCTAGTAAAGGTTCTGCGCCTATAACCATTCATGACTGAAATTGATGGATTGGTAAAAACAATATGGATAGACGGATATCACAACATTGATATTAAGGGGAAATATTTGTTTTATAAATCGAATATAAATCGGCCATTCATTGAATAATAAGCCGGTCAACCGCTAGGGACACTTATCGGGTAAACACTGGACGTCCATTATCACAGTTTTTCCAAGAATCATTCACTTTATCTTAAGCCTTTGCTTTAGTACGTGGCCGGCATTGCACCATGCAAATGTAGCCAGCGTCAACGTCGCAGCCGCTCACCAGGAGGTTCATGAGGACGCTTGAAGACTGTGTGGTTGGCTTTGAGTCCACCGGCACCGGTGACGGGCTGCGTTTCACACGCTTTGCGGCTGGCTCCTCCTCCTGCTTCATCACTCTCTTGACACCCGTATCCCATGTTGAAACGCTCCTGTTTGCAATTAGACCTGAAAACGAAAACTCATTTGTATTTAAAGATATTTAAGTCTTAAACATACATTACATATGATATATTATATGTTAGTTACCTTGGTCTGAGTATATATTTGTAATGAGATCCTGTGGTGGCGGACCCGTGGGTGCCGCTGCGAGCAAACGTTGAAGCGCAGGCGCCGATGAAACGACCTGCGGCTCGGTAGGTTGTGGCCTTGCAAGGCTGACACTATCGGGTAATGCGCCCCACATAACAGCAGATTCCAGGACTGGGAGTTCATCGTTAATGGGGATGAACGGGGAATTTCCATCGTCGATATCATTATCCGATCTGCCGCTGTCGAACGCATCTAGTGTCAATTCTGTTAATAGGGACGACTGTTCACATGATGATTCAGTCTCCTGCAATGGAGTATATTTATATAATAAAATAGTTTCTATTTGTACATTGAAAATATATTATATTTACGAACTTAACTAGTGATCTTACTTGAGGATCAGGCGAAGACAATAAGGAGTCGGCAGCCAAAGAATCAACTGGCGACCCACTCGCCAAATCATCACCGAGTAAGCTGCAGTAGTTGTCGTTCAAAATGAATTCATCGAACATATCAAAAGGACTGTTCTCTAGAGGAATACATGCGTCACCGGCTGTTGGAGCCAAATGTGTAAGGTCTTCCGGCTCGTCCTTAAGCACTGTAAGAGAGGAAGATGATTTTGTACATTGATCTGCGCAGCTTTAACGAAATACAATAAAGCAAGCAACGGATACCTAAGCTGTGGAAGTTCGAGTGCCACTCACTTGTAAGTCCCTCGTCTTGGGAGAACATGAGAAAGCCTTTGTTCATTTCTTTCTTTCGCGGTGCGAATATCAGTTCCGTAACAGGTATAGGACGCTCCTCTTCGGGGAGAATCGCGGCTACTATGGCGCCGTTTCCTGCCTCTGTAGCCGGTTGGCAGATTGGTACAGGTGTTGTCTGTTGTATGGTCGGTGCCACGACGGGTTTCAAGTCTGCATGCTGCAATTGGTGTGCAGCGAACACCTCATCTTTGCACTCGATACCGCTGCGAACAAAAGAAAATAACAACATTCTATCAACTTTAACTAGGTCTACCGCTATTGCCCACCTGCATTTATTTCTCATTAACAGGCATTTACGATGTTACTTAAGAGGACAATGGTAACTGCATAGTCGTAAGCATAGGTATTACGACGGTATTAAGTGTTAATTGGATTTGCAAACGTGCGTTACAGTGTACAGTATACACTCAATACAATATAATACTATGTAGAGTCGTCACCGTGCTAGATGTATATATTTGCAATTGCGAGCAATCAGCCAACAATGCTCAAGGAGAACGTTTAAACGAGCTCACGCCTAGACTTATATGCCACAAGACGAATAAAGTAGCAGATAACATTAATGTATGCAATTAGGTTGTCGAACTTATTTTTGAATGGGACAAACATCATACGAATCGATGGAACTCACTTATCATTTATCAATGACACAAAACACACATAAGAATTCACATTGGTGGACGATTGTAAATTCTATAATTAACGATTATTACAAAATATATAATTGTACAACGTACTATTATGAAACTGTCTTGTATTCTAACCTAAACTATTGTAAAGAAACATCCGATTTATACAAGTACAAGTCTATCTATATGCATAGATCAGTCATATAATAGATCGGTTGGTCGATCAGTCATTTAAAGATCATAGATCAGTTTTATAAAAAAAATTATAAACGAAGATAACCCACGGTGTAGTCTTATGGCAAATATTTGCGTCAATGATCTAAAATCAAAATCAATAAACCTCTTTAGTGCCGAGCTGTTTGATAAGGTGTTATTGATGAGCCTCTAGGGTTCAAGTTTGTGTTAACCTCATACATTATAATAGACATATTGATAGGAAATTTTCGCTTCCTTGTAAACAATCTAAATACAAAATTGCAAACTATGACCATAATTGAACAAAGGTTGGATATGAATTAATATCGCAAGCAAAATCTACATAAGAGGTTAAAGAGTACTGCATAGACAAAATGATTTAAAAAAGGATAAACAAACCTGAAGTTTCTGCTAATAACAGTTCTCCAATTAAAACGGCCGGATGCATCGGCTTATCGTATGTAATAATGACGCAACAAAACAAATCCATCACAAACTACAGATTCAAGCTGCATATATGAAATACTAGACGGAGTCTGTTTGGTGGGTGCACTTGTGCATTACATTCGAAAGTGGAATCGATCTGACAGGGATGGCGAGATTGGAGCAATGTAACGCGAAGAGGGATAAGCGAACGAACGTAGTACGGCCCTACTGGTGACCTTGCACATTCTCATCCCCTAGCGTCCCCACACTCCGTTTGAGGCGACCATTCACCAGTGATCAAGGCTGCGCGCGCAACAATAACAACACGGCGGGGTGGGTATCGATTGTCTGAGATTTCAATGCGATATGCGCATCACAAGTTGCTTACGCCGAGAATTTCTAACAAGCGGCAGCTGCATTTAAAACTAATAGTCGTAGCGTTATCATAATGTTTATTAAATTGAATATTAACTATGTTAGTCTTATAATTTTACAATCTACCTTATAAGTTGGGTGTCCGGAACTTAGGCTTATATATACAACATGTAACAAAAACCCTGTGGTTCCCGTTAAGTACGTTATCAGGATCATTATTCAAACGTATAGAAATAACTGTATTTTAAAAACTCGAACAATATTTTATTATTTTATTAAAAAAAATAGTATACAAATTTTATGTGGTTTTATTACCTCTGCACTGTCTGGGGAGTAAGAGGATTGTCAAAGACCCCGCTTTACTTATCTTTAGCATCGGCTAGTGTCAGCAAGAGGTAATAAAACCACATAAAATTAAAAAAAAATGTTTTTGATAAAATAAAAAAAATATGGTCGTATTTAAAAAAAAAGGTATCTCTATAGGTTTGAATACTGATCCTGATAACATACTTAACGGGAACCACAGGGTTTTTGTTACACGCTGTATATGCTTGTTGTTGAAATTTTAGGCTATAAAATTCAGGATATTTTTAAGAAGCTATGATGAAACAAAATCTATGGTAAGATAAAATTTAGATAAATTTAATAAGTTTGTTGGCATTTTTATTTCGTTAGATAAATATTTAACCATCAAATTTTATTATAAAGGCATTATTATTATGCAAGAAAAATGATTCAGAAAAACATTATTGGCGTTTTGATACTAGCAGACAGTAATTGTAATGATAATGCTTCATTGGTGAAGGCTAGACACAGCAGATGTCGGCAGCGACCTTGGCCGTGAAACCGTTTAACCAGGAACGTAATTCAACAATTACCTACTTCTCAACACGGTCGAGGGCAAATGACGTCACGTCATCTCATTACATAGTCAAGATGTTCTTGGTTGAGCTTAGGGTTTATGCGATATTAAGAAAAAAATTAATGTAGGTATTACGGTCAGTCATTGTCTGCTTGTATAACATTTGATTACAACAGAGCATAACTTCTATCGCTAACAGAACATTTATAAAGTAGTTGATTGAAATAAATAAATAAATAATTCTCTTAGTAGTACTGAGTGATAATATGTAATATTAAATTATTATTTTTTAGGTAAAATTTAATTTATTTTTCTGCTTTATTTTAAATGTCCGCTACTATTTTCGAGTTTAAATAAGCAAGCTATTATAAATACTTTAAGGCTACTTATGATGAGTATGTGCGTAAGCCAAACGTACTTTCTATAAATTACTCGATGCACATTTCATTAATAGTACAACTGTTTACGGCTTTAATTAATTCTTACGTAACTATTTAGGTAAGAAATTTTAAAGCCGTAAACAGTTGTTCAATAACAAACTTTAACTGACGATAAGGAGCGATAAGCCAAAAAGAATAAATAGGTACATTATTTATAACAAACAATTTGTTTGCATCACTGCATTTACAATTAAATATGTAAGTGGTATTTTATTTTTCCTTTTTTGTTACAATTCTGGTGATAGATAAATTTACCATTTAACTGAATATGATGTAATAATATTATACGTAAAATGTGTATTACTTTAAACGGAAATGAAAGAAATGCTTGGAATAATCGTATAATAACCGTAAATATAATCGTAAATGAATTCGAGAGCATGAAAAAATAATTGCTACTTAATATCGAGATAAGTGAAAATTAGAATTTGTTGCGGGACAGACTGCAGACAATCGTATGATAAATATTTACAAACTAATTTCAAGGCCGACTGATAAGATTGTTTCTCGCACATATAGCTATATTGTTTCGTCATAGCACTAAACATTTCTTTATTTAAAAAAAAATAAAACCCGATATAATAATAATGGGGTGGGATTTTTACATAATTTATCAGTTTCTAATTTCTTTTTTTTTTTAATAGTTAAATGGCGATCGATTGCCTTTCATCTTCATGATTACTAATATGGTCTATATAATAGGAGAAGATCAATGCATATGTGTGGGCTATGGAGTACTGAGCAGCGGCGCGGGAGTCAAGGCCGACACCACGGAGTTATATAACCGGCTGTGGACGGCGGGGGACGAACGCATCCGCTAATTTTAGCAGCTCTCGAAAACAAGACAAGCGCACTCGTGAACTGAAAAAGCATTGCCGCGCGACGCGACGCTCCGCCGATGCAATACATTTACAACTTACTGCAAAAACTGATCACACTTTAAAAACTGCAGTCGGAAATAATATGCGATTATGTATGACGATAAAATAAATAATATTAACCGGATATATTACTACTTTAAAACCAACATCGTCGATATGAACATCTGTTGGTGCCTGTACTAGTATTATCCATAGAACAGAATACACTCTACGAGAGGTATTATCACTATTATTAGTTAATAGGAAGCGACCGACGCGACGGGCACAAATTAAAGAGAGTACGGGTAAGTTAAACACATGTAAGCAGACACATTCACTATAATATCACTTCACTGTCACAATCACTGGTTCTTACCATGATGGGGTAAACTTCTTACGATGTAGCGGGTATAGTTGTGGGATTTGAGTGAACGAGTTTCGACGGCGGGTTTGTGAACAGCTGATCGTGAGCGCGGGTTGAGTCGGTACAGAGTGGGTGAAGCGCTGGGTGTACGCTTGCCGTGAAGTCCGTGGAGCGAATGATACGATACGCGACGTTCAGCGGCGGCGCACTCGTGACGCGAGTGACGTGATGCTTTGAACACTTACTATATGGCGCGACGTAAAATGATAAATTTTCGAGGGTTGCCGCTCCGTTCATAAGGCGGTCGAGCGGCGAGATAACAGAGTTCGCGATCCACCGGTTGTCAATCGCGATCACGGTCAGGTTAACGAGACATCACTTGCACGCGAGTGATACCCACACGATTTTACGAGCTTCTATTATAATGTGCCGATAGTGTTTATGTAATGGTCGGTCAATCGAAAGAAAATGATAAAATAGAAGTCCTCATTTTCACAAATGTCGGTGGGAGACGACGGAACTATAACCGGTGGAGTTATTTTAGCAAGTCGACTTGCAGAAAGGTCAATGAACCGACTGAAGCAATACATGTGTCTTATGTTATTTTAAAGTGATATTTAACATACAAAAGTGATTCAGCACGTCATTGCAGTTATTTCGTTCAAATTAAAAAAAAACCCTCTTGGGTTACATAAGTTACCTAGCAATATTTTATTTTTAGCATTCCGTGCCAAAATTAGCAAACCGGACTCTTATGGAATCACTTTGTCGTTTGTCCTCAATCCTCATTTCACATGTAGATTTGTCTAGTCATTTTGAGTAATATTATAGTCCTTATCGGTAATATTAATATTATTCGAAAAAAAAAAAACATTAATACATATTATATTCTCTTTTCATATTTATCAACAAAATGTGATAGTTCGGAAAAATCTGAAAAATTATTTCCAACAAAAATAAGTAGATATACCTATAAAGTTTGCTAATGTATGATAGCTAATATTACCAGCATTGCAAAATTTATGTGATATCAATTATTAAGTGGTTAAATA